TTTTAATATGAGTTGAGGTCATCATGCTGCAGCTACCGGGTCATCATCAATCAGATTCAGAAATATTTTAACACTTGCAGGTGCTAAACGAACTTTATGATGTTAGAATATTCCTAATTGGCTAAAAAAACGCGACCGGGGACAGGAATGAACCTGATTAAAATGTACTATTAGTAAGTAATTTACACGACATCTGGTTTAGACATAGTTCTACACGTGCAGTCAGCATGTGAAATCTTTCACGTCTAAAAATACGGGTCTTTTTTTTATAAAGAAAATCTAAATTCCTTTGATATGTGCAGTTTCTTTTATTCCAGAGATCATTGAAAGGAAGCTGGTAACGTTATTCATTTCAACTAGAAAGATGGAAAAATATTTTGAAGAGACATGATATTATTTTGTTGCGATCGGGAGATTAGCCGATTTTTAATCTGACACGAACCCAGCGTATGTTAGACCACTTATCTGAGCCTAGCTTTGTTTTATTATTGGGCTTATCACCTACCGATCTCTAAATTCTAACTTACATATCTCCCGATCGCAACAAAATATTCTGATGTCTTCAGGTTTTATTTTATTATATGGGTGCTGCCATTAAGGGATTTTTGAAATCCAACAAAAGATATGTGCGAGACAGAGAGAGAGACAGAGGTTAACGGTCATTTCTTTTATTTTATGGGGGGTTGGATGGTCGAATGGTTAGCGCGGGCGCACTGTTTCATACGGTCTGTCATTGATTCAACTGGCGTAGTTTCGAATCCCCGGTTGTACGTGACAAGGAGTAGGGTCGCCTGTCCAACCTCGTGGGTTTTCTCCGGGTCCTCCGGTTTCCTCCTCCAACTGCTAAAGACCCCTACGCGCAAGCGAATTATTGAAATAAAATTAAACCATATGTTAGTCCCGGGGTGATCTAGTTTGTGTCGAGTGGACGTTAAACCCCATTTCTCTTTCTCTCTCGCGCAACAAAATATTCTGATATCTCCAGCGTACACCAATTTGACCAGTTTTTATTTTATTATATGGGTGGTGCCATGAAGGGATTTTTGAAATCTAACAAAATCTAACAGAGAGAGACAGAGGTCAACGGTCATTTTTTTTATTTATTACAAGAATTCGTTAGCAATGGGAAGAACAGGAGGACCCGGGGAAAACCAACGAACTCAGACAAGCGACCCTATACTCACGTACAAGTGTAGGATTGAAACCACACCACTTAAACCCAATACCATACCCTGTGATTTAAAGCGCAAGGAACAGCGTCTAGTCGTTCGGATGGTATGAAAAACTGAGGTTCAGTTGGCGTGCACGAAACAGAAACCCTGGTAGTTGAACGTTCGAGAAGAGTAGGAGGGAATTTCCCTCATACTCATAACACACTGGATGATTTAACCCCATCTTCGTTAGCCCAGCTGGGGAGCCACGATGGCTCAGTGAGTAAAACGTTTGGCTCGCTAACCTGGAGGTCTCGAGTTCGATCCCCCTGCGTTGGCCGAGAAAGTTCATCGGTATTTTCTGGCGTGATTCTTCTTTGTCAGTGGTGCCAGTGGCCTGGCAATAGACAACGTATAGTCTTTCGGATGGTACAAAAAATCGAGCTCCTTGTACAAATTGGCGTGCACGTAAAACATCTCTTGGCAGTTGTAATTCGATATAAGTGTAGGCCGTACGCCAATGTGTACATGGGACGTGTTTTTCGTCCCATCCGAACGACTATCTCTTCCACGCCAGGCCGTGTGTCCTGCACGACTGACAAGAGGGAACCATGGCGCAAAATCCAGGTGAACCTTCGCGGCCAACGCCGGACTTCCTGGTTATCAGAGATGAACTAGTATCGTGTATAATTAACTAATATACAATACATTCTGACACACAAACATCTTTTACTCATGAACACAGTAATATAATATACATATATCTTAGGTATTCATGGTAATTATTCTGAGTGAGAGAGATGGGGCGGGGGAGAGAAGAGAGAGAGAGAGATAGAGAGAGAGAGAGAGAGGGGGGGGGTAACTTAGCAGTGGGATGAAACCAGGGGACCCTGAGAAAACCCACGCTACTCCTTGTCAAGTGCAAGCGGGGGGGGGGGGGCATTTTCAATAGAAGGCTTGATCTCGCTTTCACTATGTACTCGCAGTCGTTGCTTAGGAACATGGGGGCGAGGGTGTTAACGTCCGCTCGACACAAACTAGTTAATTTCGGGACTAACATATGGTTGGAGGTCTGTCATGCGTCAAGTGGCGTGGTTTTGATTCCCCGCTTGTATACGTGAAAAAGAAGGGGCGCCTGTCCAACCTCGTGGGTTTTCTCCGGGCCTCTGGTTTCCTCCCATAGCCAAAGACCCCTACGCGCCAGCGAACTATTAAAATAAAATCGAACCATGTGTTAGCCCTGAAATGACCTAGTTTGTGTCGAGTGGGCGTTTAACTCTATTAGGCCTACTCTCTCTCTCACCAAGTGCATAGAAACCGTTCCTGGTTGGAAAAGGTGAAAAAGATAATAAATTGCAGCTGTTTTTAATGCACGCGATTTCCTACATGGAGACCAAAGCTTGATGTGTGACCTGTCAAAGGCACAGTTGCATCCCCATCAAACGAATAATTGCTATGTTTTTCATTTTTATTCCTTTCCGTAGGCTGTAATATCACACACGAGTAGGAATGACATTAACTATTTTTAGTTTTTTTTATGACCAATGTAAAGCGAGTACTTTAGGTTCGATTATAAGGAAATTAAAGAGCGGCATTTGGTAAGATTAGATAAAGAGCTGACAGTTATCGCTATAACAGTCAAAAATAGATAAAAATTTTGTCAAATGACTTCGCTCTGAGCCTAGATATCGGCGATACAATTATAGTCTAGCCTCGATCACCATTACTACCGTTGTTACGATAAGAAACAAAGTCTCGATTATCCATTTTTACGGTAACCGTATCGACCACAAAGCTTATTTACATCTACTTATATCGCAGCCATTTGTCCAACTTCGTGGGTTTTCTCCGGGTCCTCCGGTTTCCTACCACTGTTAAATACCCCTACGCACAAGCGAATGATTGAAATAAACTTGAACCATATGTGAGTCCCGAAATTACCTAGTTTGTGTGGAGTGGACGTTAACACCCCCCCCCCCCACTTTCTCTCTCCCTCTCGCAGCCATCTGATGGCATCGAGAGTTGATTATGGTCTGGTTACGTTAAAGGCTCAATACCACTCTTGTTGTAACTGAATAACATGTCCCAATCTTTATTCTGGTCAACTAATTGTATTTTTTTACAATATTTCAATTAATTGATGATACAGATTTCATCTTAACACACCTTACTTAAAAATTTGAAAAATTCAACATAATGGTTTGAAACGTCTAACGTAAACCTTTTCAATTTAAACTTCGATTTAAAAATATTTTCGAACCCTCTGGACAAGTAAAATAGGATGTAATGGATAATTTACACATCAGGGAGGACACTTAAACATCTAGTACTTAGATGAAGATATTATTTATTTTCTGGAGCTTTCAAGCCAGCAAGAGTGTTATTGTCCCTTTAATAAATAACATTTCAAGCCTAAAGAAAGACCTAAAATAGGTAGATTTAACTCTTGCATATTGTATCTTTAATTGAATGAAATGTGGTTTAATGCCTTTATACGTTTTACATGCAAGCCAATATGTTGTACACGGGGTCTCGCGGTTTTTCGTCCCATCCGAACTACTTGATGATACAGATATCGTCAATTTCTGAATTGGTATTAAAAAAGTATTTTTTCGGCTACCTTTTAAACAGTTGAAACTATTATATTTACGGATAGAATAGGCCTGGGCGAAATTTTGAACGGCAAACTAAGAAAATGCGAAAAACCACGTGATTCCAATTGAGTATTCACTGGTGTCTACTGATAAGTGGGGGGTTGGGTGGCTAAATGGTTAGCGTGCGCGCGCTGTATCATACAGTCTGTCATTGAGTCGACTGGCCTGGTTTCGAATCCTCGGTTGTACGTGACAAGGAGTAGGGTCGCCTGTGCAACCTCGTGGGTTTTCTCCGGGTCCTCCGGTTTCCTCCCACTGCTAGAGACCCCTACGCGCAAGCGAATTATTGAAATAAAATTAAACCATATGTTAGTCCCGAAATGACCTAGTTTGTGTCGAGTGGACGTTAAACCCCATTGCTCTCTCTCTCTCTACTGATAAGTTCATAGCTGTGTCTTTCTTTATTTAATATGGAGTCATTCTATGTGTCTATGACTAGTCTCTGTCTACGGTTGTATTCCGTTTAACTTACCATGTTTTTATTTTGCAAAATTAAAATATTTTTCATGTATATATTTAGCCAGGTGTGCCGATAATTTTTTATGTGTTCCAAGGTGTGCCGTTAGCAAAAAAAAAAAAAAGGTTTAGAACCACAAATTTATCCCATACCCGTCTTAACTAGCCTTTTTGGTGTAGACAGTCATGTAGGCCCTCATTTCATTTCATTTCATTTAATTTACCACATGATATAATAATTTGTATTCGTAGTCAAACATGACTTACGCCCAATTGAAAAGATGTTTATTTCAAGACATGGGTTTAACAATAAAATCTCCACACAGCTATACGTCTCATATTTGTGGCGTAAAATAAGATGTAAACAAGAAACGAATTCGTGTGAAAAGTTTCATAATTCGCGATATTATCTTGATGCCGAATAGAACAAACAAAAGAAAGTCTATAAAAATAGGTAAATAAACTAAACCGAGACCGTTGCTATTATTTCAGAATACAAAAGCCTGAAAACACTTTCTACCTACATTTTTAGGCCCATTATTATTATTTTTATGTAGGTAGGTAGGCTTATGGTCTGATAATAACCCCAAAACAAATGAAAGATAATTAGATGGATATTAACTCATAGTAAATAACTAGTCATCCACGTCATGCAACGTCGATAAAACTTGCCAACATTGCTCGTTTTGTTCGTTTAAATACAGCTATATACAGCCCACAACTGAAAAGGATTTATGACGAACGAAGAAGCCACGATAGCAGACGAACTTTCAGCTAAAATCGTTCAGAGCGACATCTAACGGTACACAGGGCAATCAGCGGTCGCCTGCTGAAAATGGCGGCGACCAAAGTTCTGCTATTTCTGTCTTTGTTTATGCTGCCGCTTTTACAATGTGAAAATAGTAACTCACCCCTAAAAAGGGTGATTTATTCTCTGGAGACATTAATAGGTTTTTACCGAGAGAATTACAGGGATTTAAATTTGGATGGACTTTTTGGCCTGCGAGCCCTAGAAGGTGAGTGAATTGCTTAAGATGTTGGGTTATGATGGGTTATACTCATAATGCACGAGAAGCGTAAAGCTGTTGCTGTGTTGCTAGTATAAATTTACACCCAAAAGCAATTTGGCAACCCATTCTAAATGGCAGTCGATCACAGAGGTTGCTTTTAACGCATAAATTGAGACATGGAGTGTCTAGATTTTAACTGTTATACGTACGCAATCGCCTTCGTTATTCACGTGCAGTAACAAGATCGAAAGGGAGAGAATCTTTCCAGACCCAAATAATTTTGGAGTTAGGATTTGGTATCTGATTTATATATATGTAAACAAATGTCAACATTGTTGTGGTTCTGTACTTGATATTAACATTGACCCGTGTTATACTGTTAGTGTGTTTTCTGTTGGTTACAGTCTAGTAACGTTAGTAACTGTGATATATCTAATATACCACAGTTGTATATGGTGCAGGAATATATAGAGGATATTTGTCGTTTTAGAGTGAATAACATATTTTATTTCATCGAGAAGCGAGAAGACTTATATTTTCACGAATGCATAGCATGAGTGAAAATATAAACGTTTTCTTGCTTAGAGATGAAATAAAATATGTTATTCACGACAAAACGACAAATGTTCTATTTATTTTATGATTTTACAATCATTTTAGGTAAAAACAACTAGCCAGTGGAATAACACTTTTATTTCACTGATAAAACGCGGTATTCTACGACTGATCATAAAATAAACATTTATACAAACTGAATATACAATACAATGTCATTGGTTTCAAATATCATACACCATGCTATCATACACCATGCATCCAAATGTAATTAATTGTTAGCTGAATTAGGGCTTTATCGGGTGGAAGGGTATTTTTTAAGGGAGAGGTGGGGGCGAGAGGCACTAGTCCCCTTGAAAAAATGTTGAAATTTGGATCCATTAAGTTAACTCCAATGAATTTAATACCAATATTGTGAGGATCATCTTGACACTGTCAGTGACCCCCCCCCCCCCCCCCCGACTCTTAAAACCTTTAGCCAAATCAAAATTTTATTAGCCAATTCAGAAACTTGTAGCCAAATATTATATTTCTATTCATGTGTTTGTTAATTAAAAATACATATTTAATATGTACTTATTTAATGCACAAGAGTTTATTTTATTCCTTGAACTGTCCGAAAGTTCTCATTTGCGTGATCCTGTGTTCGATCAGGTTTTGGGGTGAGAAAGTTTACCAGCATGGTTCCACCTTGTCAGTGGTGCACGACGAAGTGTCCAGCAAGGGACAATGTGTAGTCATTTGGATGGGACAAACAAAAAGGTCCTGTGTACACATAGATGTGTCCGTAATAGATCCCTTCACAGTTGGAATTTGAAATTAGAGTAGGGCCGCCCAGGGCGTAGCACTCTGCAAGGCATATGCTCGTCTTTATTTGCCCGGTTATTGCAGATAAATAGGGCATTAAACCCTGAATATCGGGCTGTTTACAATCTAAATTTGATGTGTAACTAACGAACAGTACAAAATATATGTTAGCTGTGTATACAATGTACGCAAAGGTAAGTCTGGACTGAAGACCCCTGTCACAGAAAGTAGTAATAGTAGTAGTATAACCTAGAAACCGGAAGCAGTAGTCTAACACCACCAAGCCTATATAACTCCCTGGCCCGAGCTACCCCTATTCACCAAATTTCAGCCCTGGGACAGCCCTAGTGTAGCCATCAACCCTGAACAGACAGACAGACAGACAGACAAACAAACAACCACCAGTCACAAATATTGAAATGAAATGAAATGGGGTTTAATGTCCTACTATTCTGCTCCCACTGATCTACTGAACCCGGGTATACAGTGTGATATGAGGGAAATTTTGCCCGGACAGCGGCACTACGGCCTACTCTTATATCGAATTAAGGACCTCAGTTTTTCGTACCATCCAAACATCTAGACAGCTGTTCTTGTCAGGCCCTCTGTCCTGCATCACTGACAAGGGGAAACCACGCGGGAAAATCACAAATAGATAAGAAATGTGATGCATGATTTGTACTGGACAAAGTATAGACAAAGTACAAAGTGACAATAGGTAACAGATGGATTTAATGTTTCACACAAATAAAATTATACAATAGATAAGAAGTGTGGTGCATGATTAGTACTGGACAAAGAAAAGATGAAGTACAAAGTGAGAATATGTAACAGATGGATTTACTGTTTCACACAAGTAAAAGTATACAACACTTGATAACAAAGATATTAATTATATATTCAATTAAATTATCAACATGAATATCTATATATTAGTGTGGTATACACATAAGTTGTGAAAATAATTAAATATCTGAAAAATGCCTAATTGAGATTGGCACCTATAAAAAGGATCTGTTTTAGTGTAAATCAAGCTGTGGACAAAATCAGTTAGTGTCTGATAAATGGCTGATTGGGATTGACACCTGATAAAGTGAGTCACTCAGATCTGAATTAAACATACATTATACAAGAGTTAAATCTGCCTATTGCAGGTCTTTCTTTGGGCCTGAAATGTTTTCTAAATTATTAATTAGACATTAATTAACCTATCCAGACCATAATCAACTCTCGATGTCATCGCTAGCCTGCGATATTTACTGGATTAGGATCCGATCTGTTTCTCAATGCTCATTCATGATTAAATAAAAAAATGTTTTTTATCGTACTTACTACTGACTTTAGTAATGATGATAGAGGCTGGGTCCAAAATTCAATCACTAAATTCTCGGTTCAGAGTTGATCAATTTGACTGAAATTTTGAGCAAATTCCCCTTTACATTATCTAGTTTCTAACTATTGTAGTAAGAACTACCAGCTCTTTATCTCATCTCACATAATCAGTCGTTAATCAAGAAATTGAAAAAATCGCTCCCCTAAAAAAACTCTCCCAGTTTCGATAAGAAGAATGACTTAGAAATGAAGGAGAGTGATCTGATATTAAGGAGAGTGATTAGTTGTGTGTATGGGAAATGGTTCTGAAGATCAATAACTGCATGTTAGGGTGGTGATTGCTGGTTTCATAAATGATAATACCCCCCCCCCCCCCCAATGACTTTGTAAAGGAGAGCGATTTTCAATTTTAAGGGGAGGGAGAAAAACCTCCCCACGATTGACATTCAGGTGAGTGGCAGGTGCTCGCCTTAAAAAACAATGACTGCATAATGTATCTTTAAATGTTTAATTAGATTATCTTAAAGTTGCAATTTCATATTTTTACGTTATATTTTTAAAATTTATTAAAATAAAGCCTTAAAATAGATGGTGGTCCTACCTTGTTAAAGAATAATCCTATTAATCCTATAATTCACTATTGCCAGTTGAGAAATTGGCAAAAAAATATCATTTTCCTCTTCAAATTCAAACGTTTGAAGACCGCTACTCCATGGTTGAGAATAGAAAACAAGGGAGGTAATTGTGTTATTATTTCCGGTGTAAATGAGTTTTAAATGTGAGAATGACACCTATGATCGTGAGTTGACAACCTACATGTATTGAGCAAAAGACATAGAAATAATTATGTTTTGACTTTCTTAGAAAATATGAAATTGTAACTTTAATTACATGTACATGTACTAATGTTTAATTAGATTATCAATATGGATCTATTTTAGTGTAGATAAAGGTGTGAACAAAATTAGATACAGGTATTATCTGAAAAATGCCTGATTAGAATTGACACCGAAGTCTGTCACCCAAAATACAGATTTGAATTAAATGTTAAAATAAGTTATCAATAACTGAATAATTTAGTGTGGATTGAGCTGGGAAAAAAATGAAATATTATCTGAGAAATGTACGATTTGGTTTGGCACCTCTGGTAAAAGTGGATCTTAATTACATAATCAACACAAGTACAGAGAGAGAGAGAAATGGGGTTTAACGTCCACTCGACACAAACTAGGTCATTTCGGGACTAACGTACAACCGGGGAATCGAAGCCACGTCGGTCTTCTGGACAGAGCAAACCTGGTTGAAATAAAATTGAACCATATGTTAGTCACGAAATGACCTAGTTTGTGTCAAGTGGACGTTAAATCACATCTCTCTCTCCTTCCCCTCAATAAACAAGTTTGTATGGAATTGGACATTAAACCCCATTTCACTCTCTATGAATCCAAACAACAACAACAATATGTCCTGCACATATTTTCTATCATTAACATGTACCCAATGACTTGTCTGACATCACTGACATTACTTTTCATATTTCACATTTTCCCTCGCATGTTATGGTGTAGTATTGGTATTTTGTGCCAAGTCTATGACATTTAGTTTAATGTTCATGTAGTGCATATGATTAGTAACCTACAAATGTAGGTGTCAATCACATCGTCAGACGAAAACAAAATCATGTCATTCACATTAACCATATAGGACCCGGACCCCCCACCACCAGTCGTTGTTGTTTGTATGTAAGAGGAGAGCCGAAAAAAGCTCGCCTTTATTTGCAAATTAAAAAAATTGCTCCTCTAAAAAAGCTCTCCCAGTTTCGGTAAGAAGAATGATTTAGAAATTAAGGAGAGTGAATTGATATTAAGGAGAGTGATTAGTTGTATATGTGGGAAATTGTTCTGAAGTTCAATAACTGTATGTAAGAGGGTCATTTCTAGTTTCATAAAAGATAATAACCCCCCCCCCCCCCCCCATGACTTTGTAAAGAAGAGTGATTTTCAGTAGTATAGCTAGGGAGAAAATCCTCCCCACGGTCGAAATTCTGGTGCTCGGCAGGCACTTGAGGGCAATCGCTCACTGTAAAAAAACAATGACTGTCACCAGAGAGAGAGAGTTGGGGTTTAACATCCACTCGACACAAACTAGGTCATTCTGGACTAAGAAATGGGTTAATTTTATTTCAATAATTTGCTTGCGTGTAGGGATCTTTAGCAGTGGGAGGAAACCGGAGAACCTGGAGAAAACCCACGAGGTTGGACAGGCGACCCTACTCCTTGTCACGTACAACCCGGGTCATCTTGTCCCTATGA